AAAAAAAAAAAAAGAAAAGAAAAGAAAAGAAAAGAAAAGAAAATCTGCTGTATATAACTCCTAAAAATCTAATTTACTTCTTATGGGTTTTATTCTAGATATGTTATAATAGGTTACCATTTTAAAGTATATTAGATAAGAAGATCTCTATTTTGATCATTAATTGTATTGGGCTCCTCATTTCATCCTAGTTTAATTCTAAATAATCCAAAACCCAAAATATTGTATTATTGCTATAAAGGCAAGTACTTTCCAATTGTGTGATAACCCATACACATTATCAATATTTTCAAACTAAAATGCATTTATAAACTCAAAAGAAAAATACAAAATGTATTTATCTAGGTGTTGTTATTATACAATACTCTTTTAAGAAATGGTATACCAGGTCCCAAAATAACTGCGTAATGCATGAAAAGGCTCAATGCATTTATATTTAGTTACAGAGAAGAGGTGTCATTCTAACAATTATTATTTTTATTGTTACACAGTTTTTATAAGCACATGCAAATTATCATTTCATCAATGTGACCATTTTTTAAAGTCTGCTTAACTCCAAGTATAAATGATAATTCATTAATTCAGAACAGATTCCTTCAATAAATTTATTTTTAAAATTTCCCATGATCAGTTAACTTTGGGAAACACTGTCATACTCAAAGGGATAGCCCCAAACCAAAGTTCAAACTAAATATTTTGTAGCATAAGATACTACGTTTTAAGGCACAAAAATAGCTGGCAGTTTTGTAATTTGAAGATAATTCAGATGGGTGCTGCATTTCAGTTGCTCTGATTTGCCATTTCTCAGGTGAAAGAAGGCAGCAGGTGGATTCCCCTCCCCAGTATAGTAATTATACTTTTAGTGTCTTAGTGTTTACTCTGAACAAAATTTACTCTGATAGTAACGGCAACGGTTTTTACCTTTTACCCAAAAGAGGTTTATTTAAAGTGGCAAAATTCAAAGTTTAACTAATTCTAAGGAGATCGTGCTTAAGAAAAATCATACTTCTCTGAAGCAGGGGTTGGCAAACTTTTCTATAAAGGGCCAGACGGTAAATATTTTATACTTTGCCATATGGTCTCTGCTGCATCTACTCAACTCTGTGCTGCAGCACGAAAGCCGCACAGAGAATACATAAGTGAATGTGCTTGGCTGCATGCCAGTAAAACTTATTTATGAACACCGAAATTTGAATTTCATATAATTCTCATGTGTTACAAAATAGTATTCTTCTTTTGAGTTTTTTTTAACAATTAAAAAATGTAAAAACCATTCTTAGACCACTACAGAAACAGGCTATGGATGAAGTTTAGCACACGGCTGATAACACCTCCCCTCCCTCCTTAAAGACTACTGTCCCAAAACTAATTGATGATACCAGCCAAGTGCTGGAAATTAGGAAGACTTTTTTTTTTAAGGTAAATTACTACAGTATGACCAAGGGGTGGAATAATCCCCTCATCACCAGGATGCCTACCTGCCAGTTCATGCACAGCCACATCATCTTGGTATCCACAACCAGCAGCAGCAAGGAAAGAAGGCAGTCCAGACCCTGCCCCACAGTCCTGCCAGAGCACAGGCCCGTCTGGGTCTGACCGCCATTGACTTGCTGAGCACATTTCACCAAACATCTTATGTCACCACCGCGCAGGGGAGCCTGGCTTTGACTTGCTAATGGCCAGTCTAGCAACTGCTGGCACCCAGAAGGGCACTGTGCCCTAACAGCTTCCTGTGATCTCTCTACACAAAGGAGGTTGGGCCTTGAGCGTCCAGCTCTGCAGCTTACATCCAAGGCCTATCAGATTACTGTGCCATTTCAATTCACCAAACATCTTATGTTGGTAGGGCACAGAACCATTTGTACAAAATATTTTAGAGAACATTTTTGCCCACCATGGAAAATTTGGGCCCTTCAGCATCACAGAGGGGGGCTTAAGGAGAAATCTGTAAATACTATTTTTTTTTTTGAGACAGTCTCACTTTGTCACCTTGGGTTAGAGTGCCGTAGCATCATAGCTCACAGCAACCTCAGACTCTTGGGTTCAAGCAATCTTCTTGCCTCAGCCTCCCAGGTATCTGCGACTACAGGCGCCTAGCTAGTTTTTAGAGATGAGGTCGCTCTCTGGCTCAGGCTGGTGTCCAACCCATGAGCTCAAGCAATCCACCAGCCTCCTCAGCCTCCCAGAGTGTTAAAATTACAGGCGTGAGCCACCCGCCTGGCCGCAAATACTATTGTTCATTGATTAAAGTGCGCATGTCATCAGCTGCCAAGGCCTCCTCAAAGGCATGGAACCTAAAATACAAAGTACAGCATAAAAGGGTGTGCAAGTGGCCTTTACTCTTTTAAAGGACATTTGTACACAACCGCACAAGTCTGGGCGAACATTCCCCAGGTTCCAGCAAAAAGATAAGGGCCTGGCCCAGCCCCCACCCGGGTTTCTCTAAGAAGTAGGCCTTCCAGGGGTGTAGAGGTGCCACTTGTGCTCCCACAATCAAGCACCTTCCTTCGGTGCGCGATGTCTGGACGCTGTGTCCTTCCCAGAGGTCTTCAGCAAGCTGCACGGGCTAAAATGTGACATGTAGAGTTCAAAACAAATCCCAAAGTTTTAGAACCAGGCTCAGGAGTCGGGAGCCTTTTTCTTGGATAAAGTTACTGCTGGGGCCTTGGAGATGTCTTCCCATTCTGACGCAGGCTGGGAATCCTAGAGACCACCTACGGAGGTGCAAGTGGCGAGAGCCTTCATTGCTTCCCTCAGGCTCACTAGACTCAGTCAAGGGGCTGCCTGGGGTGCGAGTTTACCGTTCAACGGCTCCCTCCTTTTTCTTTGTCACGGTTCCACGCTCCCCTCACGCCAGATCCACAGTACTCAGAAAAGCACTCAGCAAGGCCCTCGAGTGCAGCTGCCCCATAGCCCTTCAAAGAGCTCGGGGCTCAGGGCGCATCAGCGTAGCGCAGCGTGTAGTTGGCCCCTTCATTGTTGTCCCAGTACTCGCCCTGCGCGCAGCGGTAACAGACAGCGAAGTGGATGGCGACGCCGCGTGCATCAGCTTCCTCTCCATCCTCAGGCCGCAGGCCTGGGGGCAGGCACAGCGAGAAGTGGAAGTGCTCCTCGCCCAGCTCTTTCTCAGCTTCCTCGGACCCTGGTCTGGCGACCCCCGACGGCGCCTCTGGGTGCTGAGGCTCCCGGGGCTTGGGCTGCAGCTCAGCCGGCACGTCCAGGAAGGAGCGCCACTCGGTAAAGGTGTAGCGCACGGTCACGGCCCTGGGCCCGGGGCAGCAGAGCACTCGGCCAGAGCCTTTCACCTCCGCGCCCGAGGGCGCTGAGCACTGCACGCGCTCCAGGCACACGCGCTGCCGCCGCAGGCGCTCAGCCGCAGCGCTCGGCTCCGGGAGCTGAAAGAACGGCCGGAGCCGGGGAAGCGGCGCGGAGAGGGGAGCGGCCAACAGGCTCCCCAGCTGCTCCAGGTCCTCAGCCCGCATGGGGAAGCTGCGGAGGCGCGAGAGCACGGCGGGCGGCACCTGCGGCTCTTCGGACTCGCTGAAGTGCTTCACGCTGGCCAGGCTCAGCCCCAGCGTATCCGCGAACTGCACCCGCTTCTTGCATTTGGCGCAGCAGCCTTCGGGGCTGTGTGGTGAGTCCTCAGCCCCTTCGGCGGGCTGGTCGCCCAGCCCCAAGGCTCCCTGCTGCTGCTGCTGCTGCTGCTGCTGCAGAAACTTGGCCGCCTGCAGGATGGGGTCTGCCGGCAAGGAGAAGGAACGCGTGCGACAGCGGCGGCGGCATTCCAGCAGCTCCTCCTGCTCCTGGGGGGCAGTCTCTTCCTTACGGGAGAGGGACCTGTCCCCCAGCTGACTTTCAGGGATCGGGGCCTCTGTTGTGCCACCGCCTTCCTCGCCACCGTCCCAGCAGAAGGCCTCCGTAGCTGGCGGTTCCTCGGCCGGCGGGGGCTCTCCGAAGGGCGCTGATCCTGGCGGCTGCGCTCCAGAGAGCTCCATGACACCGTCCTGCCCCCAGGATTTGTACGGGACGTGAACCCGGGCTCAAGACTCCTCTGGAGACTTAACTTCTCTGGCCTTTGAAGGGGCGCCCCGCGGCGAGTCGGCGCTGGCAGAAGAAGTGAATCCAGTTCCACTTTGGAGCCGCGGGCTTTTAGCTGCCGCTGCCAGGGCGGAGTGGGAGGAGGTTGCGGGCCTGGGGCTGGCTCCCAGGCGACACCTCCTCGGGATTGAACCTGCCCGCCGCGGGGGAGGGCCGGGGGCGGGGAGGCACGGACGCTGGGACACCTGGAAGCGAGTTGCCGAGTGCTGGGGTAGAAAGCAGAAGACGCGCTCCCTGTTACCCCACCCTCACCCCGGCGGTCTGCTCTGGGGTGTCGCCCGGGTGCAGGGCGCACTTGAGGAAAACTTGCCTACTGGGAAACTGCAAAAAGGCGGGTCGCGCGCCCCCGGAGAGCGTGCAGCTCATCCCTTCACTTCTCCTCCTGCCTTTCCCAAACTTCGGGGCGCTCCGGTTTCCAGTCCCACTCGTCAGGCAGACTCGGTCAGGAGCGCTCCCCCTCCGCGCTTCCGAAAGCCAGGAGGTCACAGTTGCCGTCTCCATCTGCCCGGCGGCGGTGCGGGGTGGGCATGGGCCCAGATCTGGGCTGGAAAGGTGCAGGGACGCGCCGGGGAGGAGACTTAGCAGAAAGCCGCCGGAGGCCATTCGCGCTGGGTCCCAGAGCACGTCCCGGCTCCTCCCCCCTGTCCCGCCCGCCCAGCCCGCAGATGCGCGGCCCAGGCCCAGCAGAGGAAGGCTGGCACCCACGCCGCGCGCGCCGCCCCCCACCGCGGCCGTACGCCAGCGCCACAGCCCCCGGCGCGCCCTCCTCGCCCGCCCGCCGGAATCGGGGCCTGACCCTGGCCAGGGCCTAGTGGTCATCGCCCTGCCACTCTGAGGCCCCAACTGCTCCACTCCGTCCTTGTGGGAGTTGAGGGGGGCTAAGTCGGAGGGGGTTGGGGAGTGCAGCATGGTACCTGGGAATGGGGGCAAAGGACAGTCAAAAGTATTTTTCTTGTTTTTGTTCTAAGGCCAAATTTACTTTAATCTAAGTCAGTGCTTCTCTGTGGAAACACATCACCGGACCCCACTCCAGAGTTTCCCATTTGCTGGGTCTCTAGGGTGGGACCTAAAAGTTCATCTAACGAGGGAATACCGATGCTGGGATCTGAGCACCACACTTGGGAACTGCTAATAAACCTATATGGACGAGTGTACATTTACGTATATATAAAGTTGGGGAGTCCAGAAACAGATCCACTTATTAAGAAACATGAAAGGCAGAACCAGTCTACCCTGGACATTTAACTGAGGCTTCTTAACTAAAATACTTTATAGTTTGGCAGGATGAAAGGGGGCCAGGGTTTTAGCCATGTTGGTGTGGTCTAGGTGAACTTAAAATGCTGAGTGAAGGGTAAGGAGAGTATTAACAGCTAATAGTAACTGAGCATCCACTGGTTGCCCCATCAGTCCAGAGGGATCACCTCTGCGTGACATTATTCACAGAACAACCCTGTGAAACAGGAGTTGTCTTATCCCTGCCCTACATATGGGACACATAGGTGTAGGAAGAGTTTTCATCCACCAGGGCCCTAAGCTAGGTTGTAGTGGGACTTCAACCCAGGCAGCTCACTACTAAGCCAGGGCTGGGGGTAGTGCCATGAGGCAGGGCCTCGGCTGGTCCCAGTGTTGAAATCTGGCTGGTCATTTTATGCCCAGTGTGGAACCCAGTGATTGCCTCTCAGGTTGGGCATGGTGTCTGCAAGAGTCTCCACACCCCTGAATTCCATCCAGAGCAAATCCAAGATTGGGGAAGCAAGACATTGTCTTTCACATTTAAATGACCATTGTTTACTCATGGAGTTAAATACAAAATTCACAAACTATTTTAAAGATTAAAGTAGAACTTCAAGGATTTTGAGGTTGTGATGCCCCTTTCCAGGCACCACAGAGTTGTGACAACCCTCACCCAGGTACGTCCCCATTCAGGGCAAAGACAATAGAGTGTGGTGAGGGAAGTGCTGGGGCACAGATTTTGAGGGGGCATCATGCTCAGGACCATGCAGGTGCCTGGCCCAGCCCTGGTCCACCCTCCTCTCTCTCAGTATATTGGAGGGACTGGGATTAATGCAAACTCACCTTCTTCAGCAGATGTTGAAAAGGTGAGATCTGATCTGGACAGGAGCCCAGGGTGACCTGTGTGGAAGGTGAGGGGGAGTTAACAGATAGGACTGTGGAGAAGAATAGGCCAGGCCATACACAGGCTCTGTGTCAGAGGGAATGTGGTGAGGATGGTCTGAGAGGAGGCAAGCACAGCCCTAGGGTACTGGCAGAGCTAAGGACGGAGGGGTGGAGTAGCCAGCCACTTAGCCTGGAGCCGTGAGAAGCCATTGGAGCCTTTTGAATGACTTGGATGTGACTGAGCAGATTTAAATTTTGAAAAGATCATTCTGGATACAGGATGAAAGTTAGACTGATTGCTGGGGCCAGAGACATCGTGGATGAACCTGATAGGAGGCTGTTGTGATTGTTGTAGTAAAGTGATTATAGCTAAGTTGAGAGATAATGGTGCAGGATGGACAGATCTAAGACCTGTTTAGGAGTGAAAACCAACGTCGCACACTTACAGATCCAGATGAGATAAAGGAGAGGGAGAAGCCTTTTCAGATTTGAACTTGAGCTGCTGGGTGGAGGCAGTCACTGGGGCAGGGATCACCAGAGAGGAATAGAGGGAAAGCAAGGTCATTAATTACTTTCTGGGGGGGTTGAGCTTAGCTTCGGTTCTTTCTGGCACCAAGTGGTGTCTTGAACACCAATTTTCTCCTTCTCCAGTGGCATGCCCAACAATTCAATTCTGACACTATTTACCTGGACTTTGTGTCAAAATCCACAAGTTAAAGGCCCAGTCTCAGACAACTTCCACTTCAGATGCTAGCTGCAAATGGGGTGCTAAGGGTACTCACATTTCTGCTCAGCCAACTACAAATTCAAGGCTCCCACATACTGGGCCCTGCTTCCCTACCCCCATTCAGTAATGACTCACAGAACTCAGGAAAACACTTTACTTGAGTTTGCCAGTTTATTATAAAGGATAAAACTCAAGGACAGCCAAACAGAAGACATATAAGGCAAAGTATGGGGTTTGGGGTGGGGCTTGCAGGGCCTCTTTGGGCACACCAGCCTGGAAGCTCTACCAACCTTGTTTAAAACCTCAGGAGCTCAATCCTAGCCCCCTCCCTTTTGGGGAGGGGAGTAGAGATGGGCAAAAAATTCCTAGTCCTCCAATCACTTCATCTGTCTGGTAACCCGCCCATCCTGAGGCTATCCAGAGAGCTCACCCTATTGCCTCATTATCATAAACTCAGATGTGATCAAAAGGGGCTCTTCATAAATGACAACAGATTTTTGTTATAACAAGACAACAATAACATAAGTAATAACAAATTTCTTGTCATAAAATTCTAGGAGTTTTAGGAGCTCTGTTTCAGGAACTAGGGAGAAAGACCAAATGTATATTTTTTATTATTAAGTTTAGAGCTGAGAGGAGGACTGAGCTTTGAGCAACTCTGATAATTTGAGGTCAGGAGCACCTGCAAAGGGGATGGAAGATGGGCAGCCAGAAGGGCTGGAGGGAATTGGAAAAAGTTATTCCTCAGAAGTCCAGGAAGGACTTCAGAAGCAGGAATGGTCAGCACCCCAGTTGGGGCCCATGGGAACTTTGAAATCTGCTCCCTTGCCACCTGAAAAGTACAGAGATATTGATTGGCCTCTGCTCTGACACACTGGGTGGAGAGATGACTTCTTTCCCTGAACTTTCTCTGAGACAGGACCCAGATATCTTCTATTCTGGGATCCAAATCCCTGAAGTTAATAGTTAAATAATATAACATGCAAAACAACTTTGAAATTTAGACCATGTCGTCTACCCTTTAAAATGTATTCAGTTCTGGGTGGTGCCTGTGGATCAGTGAGTAGGGCGCTGGCCCCATATACCGGCCCCGGCCAAACTGCAACACAAAAATAGCCAGGCCTTGTGGCAGGAACCTGTAGTCCCAGCTACTCAGGAGGTTGAGGCAGGAGAATCCCCTAAGCCCAAGAGCTATAGATTGCTGTGAGCTGTGATGCTATGGCACTCTACTGAGGGTGACAAAGTGGGACTCTATCTCAAAAAAAAAAAAAAAAAAAGAAAGAAATGTATCCAGTCCTACTTCAAATATTATTATGCCTCAGCAGCTAAAATATTTACTCCTGGCAACAGAGGCTCCTAGCTTTACCGTTTCTTCTGGTCACCTTACGCCTACTTAACAGAACCTCTCCAAACATTATTGTTTTTAGAACTAAGAACAGCAGACAGTTATTTTCTTTATAAATCTCCAAAGTTGGGCAGGGCTACCTCAAGGACAGCTTATCTCTTCTCTGTTTGCTGCCCAGGACTGGGATCATCCTATCACCAGGTCTGGGGCCTGGGCAGGGAAAAGTCAAACAATTAAGATGAAGTCATTGGAAAAGAATTTTCCCCTTTGCATTGAAAGCAGAAATAGTGCTAGGCCCTTCCTAGGTGATATATCCAGGCAATATTACAATCAAAGTCTAATCAAAGTGTGTGGTCTAATCCCACAGGTTGCATCCTCGAATCCTTCGAAAGGATTCTAACACTGCCTTTTAAGCACAAACAACTGGCAGATCATCAGATATTTCAGGTGGTTCACAGGCCACCCTTGTGCAACCTGGGATAGTTCAACTACTTCCCTGGTTACCCCACCCAGAACCAGAAATGATAAATGGGTAGAACAGAAGTCTAAACTAACTTGGTCGGGTAATAAAACCAAGCCTTATAGCTCCTAAAGCCATAAAGCAGGTCTTCTATATCAGATATTTCACAACCTGGTCTGTTCTTAAAACTGACAGGGGCACATGGAAACTGAAGGTGTGCAGATGCCGGTATGACCAATGACAGTTGTGAAACACACAGGACCTGGGGAATTGAAGAGTCTATTCTGACTTCTGTAAACAACACTGGTCTCCTTATTTTATATGGCAGAAGGTGTGTATACAGAGTGGACTTGTATATCTGGCACCTTGGGCTCTTTCATTCCTAAGGTAGTGCACCATAAACATACCAGATGAGATAGCATTTAACACCTAATTGTGTATCCACACTCCAAGTACTTTTAGATGTTAGGGACTTTATTCCCAAGTTTTAGAATTTGTGGTTTGGAAAAGGCAATCCTTAATCTTTCTGTGGTAATAAAACCAGAATTTGATACCACTATGAAAACACTAGCAGCATTCCAATCAATAATTAATGGTTTAGCCTCTGCTGTACTCTGAAGTAGTCATGCCTTGGATACACTGACTGCCTAGTGAGGTGAGGTTTGTACAGCCATTGGCAAAAAATTCTGCTTCTGTGTGAATCAGAAAGTACAATAGTGTCTAGTTTACACTTTTAAAGGGTAAAGTTAACGCTATCAGATATTGACCATTTTGTTGGATTCGCCTATTCCCCGGATTGGTAAACTAGTTTAATGGGATATGGGGAAGTATGTTTAAGTTTTTTCTGCTTACTTACTCTTGTTCCAATCTATGTCCTTCTTTC